GTCACAAGGGCTGCAGCGTGCCCCACATGCCCTCTCATGCCCAAATATACAGCCATGGGCCATGCTTTAAGGCTCTGGGCAGATAGAAGGAGCAGTAGATATGCCAATACCTGCAGAGCATGCCTGCTGTTTCCTGCTGAATTGGGGCCATTTGTGGGGCATGGGGGGAGCAGAAGGGTGCTGCAACCCTTCTGTCCTCTCTTGTCACTCCCCTTCTGAGGGGTTTGCATCCTGTCCCTGTCCAGAGCAGAATTTGGGGACTGGAGACAGCAGACAGAGCACAGAGCCGTGGTAAAACAGAGCTCTGTTCTTCCCTCTTTACAAGAACAAAAGTCCCATTGAAAGCAGTCAGACACTGAATCTAATGATTGAAATATATATATGCATACATGTAAAAAATTGGAGTATTACTGTTTCAGCTGTACTTTCCCTTGATTTTAATTTTCTTTGTGGAGTTCAAACATAGAATGTTCCTTCAGTGCTTACTTTCAAAGCCTTTTCTTTTGGCTATCACATCTAAACTCCCTTCGATTTTTCTCCCAGCTGTGGAAGGCAAGGACAGTGAGGGACAGAAAAGTCAGAGGCTGTCTTGCAGCACTGGCATCTTTAAAGATCATCCTTGAAATATAGGAGAAAAAAAACCCTTACAATAAATACCACTTCAGTTTTTTTAAAGCAAGTTTTCTTCTTGAGTGTGTGGTCTTTCCCCACTTTCAGAGCATGAACTAATTAAAGTGTGCATAATCATGCTTTGCCTCTAAACCTGCCAGGACTGTTTTTTCTTTTTTCCCCCTTGCTTTTGCTGCTGTTTCATCTCTGGACTGGACACTGCTAGGAGAGTAGGTGCCCTTGGAAAGGAGAAATGTCTGAGCTTATGCCAGCATCACCGTCCTGGTTTTTCAGCACAAACAGGTTTGTGACATGTGCCCTGTGCCGCACGCGCCCTGCCTGAGCTGCTGCCTTGGGTAGTGAACTACAAGCATCTTTGCCAGGTTTCTCTTAAATACTGAAACATTGAATGATTGAAGTTGGAAAAGACCACTAAGATCATCTATTCCAGATTTCTGTCTACCACCAGTATTGCCCTTTAAACCTCAGTGCCACATCCACATGGTTCTGGAACACCTCCAGGGATGGCAACTCCACCACCTCCCTGGGCAGCCTGTGCCACTGCAGCACTGCTCTTTCTGGGAGGAAATTCTTCCAAACATCCAACTTCATCCTTCCCTGGTGCAACTTGAGGCCATTACTTCTCATCTCTGATCATCTAGGAGAAGAGGCCAACCCCCACCAACTTTCAGATCATTGTAGAGACTGATAAGGCCTCCACTGAGCCTCCTCCAGAGTGAACAACCCCAGTTTTCTCACCGTAAGACATCCATGACAGCCTGTGAAGTGTGGAGGTCATTCAAGGGCTGGCCTTGACACACAGTCTTCCTCATCCTGGATAACAGTGAGACTGTCTTATCATGGAGGAAGCTACTCTAGATGAAGCTGAGGAAGAAGAGGAGGAGGGTTTTGCTGGAGCATCCCAAGCACTTTAGGGTGTGTGTACCAGGACTGGAGGTTCCTGGTGTAGTATCTGCCAAGAGAGGGCAGGAAGGGAAGGTAACAGATGTAAATGTGTGATGTTGGTTTATAGAGTGCACTGCATGTTTGTAAAACACCTCGGCAGTACAGCCAGGGAGGGCGATTAGTTCATTTCTTCCTCCTTTATTTTCTCTGCATGAGGCATTTATTTGTGCAGTGTAATTAGTGGGGATCTGTGCAGGTGTGTGCCATCTGGAGTGCACCCAATTAAGTCAAGAGAATAAAAAATAGGCTGGGAGAAGATGGGAGAGGAGAGCTGGGAATAACACCTCAATGGGGTCCCTGTTCATCCCAGTGGCTGAATGTCTCAGAACCTGGAGTCCCTAAGCTCATTTTACACAGAGGCTCACTGACTCAAAGAAGTGGGCCCTGATAGGGGTCCACCAAGCAGACCGCATTTGTGGCTCAGAGCAGCCATTGCTTGTCCAGCATCTTGCACGTGCTTGTGCCACCAGAAGAACAAGGTTGTGGCTGGGTATTGCTGAGGACTGGGGAGCAGAAGATGCAAATCTGTAGAAAAACAGGCTCCTTTAATCTTGTGGCTTTGTAAATGAGGGTGTGAGGATGAGGAAGCGTAGTCACTGCCAGGATGCTTGTGGTTCTTAGAACAATGCCACTAAGGCCATGAAATTAATATGCTGAGGTGCACTACGTCTCTGGATGCTCCTATTCAGAAGTCACTTCTTTTGCTATCAGGTATTTGGTTAGATTGTTAAAGAATAATTAGAGGGCCTCAGCCAGAGCTCAGAGAGGCAAACTACGTGAATCAGTCTGCACATAGGTGGGGAAAACTCAGGCAAGTTAAAGAAAACACCTCTAGGGCCCAGAAAGGGAGAGCATCTGCATGTTCTGCCTCTATGTAAAATGCATCTCTTCAGCTAGATTTTTCAGGGGATTACTCTGAAGAGGCTGTGTTGGCTTTATTTCCTAAATGTGTCAGAGAGGCTCTTCTGAGATTGCTGATTGTAGTCACATTTCCACTCCATTTTGTGAGAACTGCAGATTCTCAGCTATGCCTGTTACGAAGCCTCATTCTCTCCACTGCGTTAAAAAAAAAACATACCCATAAAGCCACGTCTACCCATCCCCTCTATGGGGACTTGAAATATTTTCTGCATATGTTATAACACTCTCAGCATCTCTTGAGCAGCTCAAGTATTTCTGCTGTTTAAAAATGTCACAAACCTGCTTCCTAAACCAGAGTTCCAGATGTGTTGTTACAGGGGATCAATTAAATGTTTATTTATTTCAAACAAGTAAACATGCCCTGCTCCTGAGAATGTGGCCTATTGCATCTATGTAGACTGCAGTGCAAACTGGATTGGTACCATTGGTGTCAGCTTGTGCCTCAGCACCTGTGGGCTCTGTATTAAACTGGGCCCTGCTGGGAGCACTATTCCACTGCCATGTATCAAAAACATCATTTCCAGGGGAAACTCCTCCACCCCGACCTTGCCAAAAAAAAAAAAAAAAGCAGTTTAGTACAATATATTTTGCTGCCTTTTGTCCCGTATGCAGCAAGCTCATGGTTCCTCTATTCTTCTGGTCTCTCATTTGGTGCGTGCCTTGTGCTGGCCTTGCTATGTGATACCATTGTGACTGCTGACAAAGCTCTCATTGGCTTTGATAAATGCCACACTGAGACTGGATTCTGCCTTTCTTCTATGTGCTTTCATGGTAAAAAGCTGGGATTTTCAGTTCTCCAGGCATCTTTCTGGAGCTATGCAGAAAAAAATAGTCTGGGGGCTGGCTAGCCATACCTAGTGAGCTAAATTGGGAGTCTTCCTACCATGCCAGGTTTACAGAGTCCCATGGTGTACCTGCTGTAAGACAGAAAGCAGGATCCCCTGGGCCTTTCTTAATAACCAGTAGGCTGGAGAAATCCTTAGGAGCCATTTATTGCCTCTCTGGATCCAAAGGAGGATTTAAATGGGGCTCATTAAATGTCTCCTTTTCACTTTCAGTTCCAGGCTGGTGCTCTTTGTCTTGCTGTCTCACCCTCCTTACCCATTTGTTTTTCCTTGCTTTCATACCCACATTTTTGAAGGTGCATAGGCATCTTCAAAAACAATTGCATGTCACCTTTGGTCTTTTTTTCTTAAAGCTGGGAGTGTTAGATACAGGCAAGTGCTTGTGCATTGTTTCTTTTCATCCTTTCACCTACCCAGAGCCCCATCCAACCTAGCCAGGAGCACCACCAGGGATGGGGCATCTACAACTTCTCTGGGCTGCTGTGCCAGCACCTCACTGCCCTGTGTGTTTGTCCCTTGAAGAAAATTATTGTGTGTCAAATCTCTTATAATGAGAACTTGACAGCAGAGTAGTGCAGGTATCATGTTCTCCACGTAATAAAAATGAGACTGTGGGCCCAGGTGACACTGGGAAATATTAGGTCAAAAACATCCTTATGGTTAACAATTGCACTTAATTGCTATAACTATAGTGAGTTAAAATAGGGTCAAGCCCATAGCTAAGGTAAATCTGAAGTGAGGTCATTTGTGATGTCAAAACTGAAGTCGCCTGCCTCAGGCCTTCCTTTATGGCCGTAACAAGGGGAAGCAGCCAGGACTGCACAGCAGATTGCACGAGGTGGCTCTGCTGCTCCATTGCTTCAGCTGGTGATTCCAGCGAGGGACAGCAGTGCTGGGGGAAGGGGAAAGGCACTGGCCCCAGAGAGAAGCCTGCACGGCCTTCCCTGATGGCTGCCAGAGACAAATGTGCAAACCATTGCTCTGAAGTGATTGATATAAAATGTAAAGGGATTAGTGAAATTGGTTTGTAAGATAAATTAATGTTGACCTTTCAAGTGATGGGTTGGAGCCAGCAGCAAGAAAGCAGGTTTTGACAGAGACCAGTGTTGACTGGCTAAAAGCATCATAAGATAAATGAGGGCCTGTTTGGTGATGCCTAGGCACGAGGTCACACTGTCGTTGCTGCTGGCCAGCAAGGTGGTTGCTTTGTGTCAGTGGGCCACTTTCTTACAGTGCCACTGAGCTACCATGGCTTGTGTGTCTGCATGTATTGTCCTTGTATTGAGTGAGCCACCGTTGGTGTAAAATCATTACGAAATTAACAGTAAGAGTTGGCATGTTGTTTTACGTGATAGTCCCTCTGTACTTAGCATTGGTGAGGCTGCACCTCAAGTGCTGTGTTTGTTTTGGGCCCCTCACTACAAGAAAGACATGGAAGCCTTGGAGTTGTGCAGAGAAGGGCAGTGGAGCTGTGAGGGGTCTGCAGCACAAGTCCCGAGGAACTGAGGGTTCTATCTGAAGAAGACTCAGGGGTGACCTTATCACTATCTACAATAATTTGTCAAGGTGGGTGTCAGCCTCTTCTTCCAGGTAACTGTAACAGAATAAGAGGTAATGGCCTTAAGTTGTGCCAGGGGAGGCTGAGGTTGGATATTAGGAAAAAGCTCTTTAAAAGAGTGGTGCTGCAGTGGCACAGGCTGCCCAGGGAGGTGGTGCAGTCGCCATCCCTGGAGGTATTCCACAACCGTGTGGATGTGGCACTGAGGACATGGTCAGTGGGCACTTCTGGTCATAGGTGGACAGTTGGACTGAATGATCTTAGAGGTCTCTTTCAACCTTAATGATTCTGTGATTCTATGTGATGAAGAGTGCGTAACTCAGTGATCGCACTGAGCTCAGTGGTCCCATATTAATAGAAATAGAAATACTCTATAGAACAGATTATCAGTAGAAACAATCCAGCAGTATTGTGATGATTTCTCCAAGTCTTCCTGGAAACCAGAAGTTTTGCCAGCTGTACTCACCTCTAAGTGTTCAGATTTCCTTTTGCTGCCCACTGTGAGTGCACAGACAGCCGTGTCTCTATCCTGGCGTGACAAAGCAATGAGAAAATTGTATCTTTAAATACCAACTTAATCTAATCTGGGACAAAAACAATGAAAGGCTTTAATCATAATTGCATGGTGCCTGCTGGCTGTCACCAGAGGGCAGAGACAAGGTTGTTTGTTGCCACGTGTGGATAGTTCAGAAATTAAATCTCCTTTCCACAAAGGCAATAGATTCTGATCTAGCTTGTGTCCTTTCCAAATATTTCAGCCTCGTAACCAGATCACTCATTTCATCAGCATCTGCCACAAACACTGTCTTGTTTCTGTCAGGCTATGTACAAAGGGGCAAGGAGAAATGTCTTTATCGTACTGTGGGTGCCTGACTTCATAACATCACAGCTTACACAAAATACTGGCTCACATTATAAACAGGAGACTTACTTCCCCTTTGCAAAGCTTTTCCAGAGCTTGGTGTTTGCAGTGCCTGCACTCTGTGAATGCTTCCCAGCTGGGCAACCACAGCAGGAACAGGGGGAGCCTGATGGGGATCCATCTTTGATCAGGAGCTGCTCTTACACAGGACACATGGAAAGCTGTGCTGTTGTCTCAGTTTAGAAGAACGAAGATTTTAAAGCCCAAGGCAGTAAGGTACAACTTGTTCGATGCTCATTCTATATAAGGAAGGCAGATTCCCTACAGCTGGCAGCACGTGTACCTGGGGCAGGGGGAACAGAGACGCACTCAGGTGTCCACTCTCCATGGCTGCGTACCTCCTTGATGGAATCTGTGAGCAGAAAAGTTTGTTTAGGAAGAGTTTAAAAGTGCTTACTGTCCTCCTGGTGCCTCCTATGTAGTTAAGCTTCATGAAAACACCTGAGGGCTTTGCATTCTGGAGAGGCTGAAGGTGCTGCTCCAGATGGTGCTGGAAATATGTCTGAAAGATCCAGATTATGTACAGGGTCACAACACTGCCCTTATGTTTCGGCATGTAAGTTCAGGTGAAACACTCAGCTCTGTGTGTTTCCCTCTCAGAACTGGGAAAAATGATTCCCATAGGCGAGGGAGGATTTGTCCTGTGAGCTGGCCATGTCCTGGCTGAGCTCCAGGGCCATAGCAATGCAGAAAGATGCTGAAGGCTCTTTGCAGTGTGTTAGCTCTGCTGTACCTCCAGATCTTTGATTTCACTGCTTTTCAAAATGAAAACAAAGAAGCTAAGCTGAAATTAGCTAATGATCTAAATATGACATGGAGGACTTGTGGGAAGCAAAGTGAACATGCAGCAGGAAAATTCAGCATCACCAATGTGAACCATGGTGTTACAGATGCGTGGTCAGCTTTTTGTCCTCCTTGCTGCCAGCTCTGGCAGGTGTGATACCCACTGCAAACACACAAAAACTCTCGCTGTTTTTTACACCTAAAATAAGATACAGAGGCTCTGTCTTGTTCTCTGCTTTTCACCTATCACGATTTTTAGTTAGCTCAGATGATGAGGGATCTGATACCTATAAAATGTTTGTGATCTTGAATTTAGCATCAAAAATAGAATAAAAGTTACAAGGAAGCAGACTTGCTCTTTCACCTGTCTCTTTTTTTTATCTCCTTAATCCTTAAGGATGGTGAGGCACTGGCAGAGCTGCCCAGTGAAGCTGTGGCTGCCCCATCCTTGCAGGCTCAAGGCCAGGTTGGATGGAGCCCTGGGCAGCCATGGCAGGGGGCTGGAAATGGGTGGGCTTTAAGGTCCCTTCCAACCCAAGCCATTCTGTGACCACCTTGCTCCAGGTTCTTATTCTTTATCTGGAAAAATATTTGTATACTATCTCAGGCCACAGAGGAGGAAGAAGGCTTGTCTATGCACATTGCAAAGATATTGTAGGGTTACGTGATTTTGTTTTACTGGCTCACATTCAGATTCTGCATTTATCATTTTTACAACTTCAGCCTTAAATTGTTGTAAGATAACCAGACTATAGCAGTCTTACCACACTTGCTTGTACTTTTATTTTAGTTTTATGGTTGTGATATTGAATCCTCTTAAAGAGAAGGCAAGTAAGTTGCTTTGACTGCGGTGAGAGTTACTTCCATGCTCAGCCAAGCTTGCATTTTTTTCTCAGTGCATCTTTCATTCTGAACATCTTATGTTTACTTTTTGAGGTAACTGCAACCTCTGTTGTGTTTTATCTCAGAATGCAGTTTTGGACCATCTCCCTCCAAAAAAAGCTACTCTACGCACAACAGCCCTGCCAGGCTGCAGCATGAGCTACCAAAGAGCTGCTGCTGCTCGAGTGTCTCTGTGCCATGCGCCACTGGATGGCCAGGCTTGGTGTCTACAAGCAAGCCCTTGGGCTCGCTGTTCACAGCTCCAGCACCAAGGCTTAACTGGAGAAGGGATTCCACAAGAGAAGCCAAAACTGTTTATCAGAACCAGGAATCATTGGGCTGACTTGCCAAATCAGACTAAGAGTTTATATGGCCGTTATGAGGACTTAGAATAAAGCGCGTGGACATGGAAGACATTGGTACATAAACATTTAATGCCCTGATGTTTTAATTATTTTGGCCTGCAGCAGCAAGGAACATTTTAAAGGCCAGATCCTTTGTAGTGCTGAATATATTCAACACCAGTTGTGCTCCTCAGAACCACCGTGCTCGGTGCCTTCCCACGAGGTGCCTCAAGTAGAGCCCCATGCTGCCTGCCCTCCCAGCCAGCAGCCACCACCACCCTGGGGGTGGAAAGTACAAGGGCAACTTGACGCCATTGAGAACCACAGGACATTCCTCGTATGTGAAATTTCTGCAGATTCAAGATTTCTACATAGCTGTGCTGCCACTTACTTACAGAAACATGTTTTCACAGCTTAAATGCATTAACCCCTAGTGGGCCATAGATTTCTGTGTGGGATTTGACATGACGTGTCTTCGAGAGATCTTCAGGACAGGAAGACAAAACACCACTCCTGGAAATTAAAAAATAACTGAATTTAGATCAAACACTTGGAAAGTCTGGCTTTTGCTCTAAAAGATTAACCAGTATTTAGAATTTTTTTTTTTGCTGTGGGAGATTCCTTAAGTAATTATTAAAAAGCAAGATGAAAAACCAGCATCATCTTTTGAGTGCCAATATCACGCCTGGACAAAAGCAATCAGCCCTAGATCAGCCCTAACAATATTTGCTCCTGGATACATTGCAGAATCCCTGGCTATGCTTAGGATAGGAAGGAATTTCCTCATGTGGTGAGTTGGCAAAGCCTTTGGGTTTGTTTTGTTCTTGTGTATTGCTCAAGGACTGTCTTGGAATTCTATTTCAGTTTTTTTTCTCTTTCTGCAGCCTTGTGATCAGAGCTGAACGTTAGCCTTGTCCCCTCTATGGGCCCTGTTTTGTTTCTGAAGATTTCCTCTGCTTTTTTCAGGTATGGTTTGGTTTGATTTACTCTAGTAATCACAAAAAATGATCTAGATTTTTGTCCACTAGAAATGAGATGCAGGGAAAGGAAGAGGATTATGAGAATAACTAGCTGCTCAACCACCTACAGCCTCCTGGTCCACTCCTACAAGATCAGTGGATTGTGTTCAAGATCACAATCAAAGCATGCGTTGTGTCAGTTGCAGCACTACACCTAAGCAGCAACCTCTTTGCTTCTATATGTAGCTAGATCATTGCCAGGCCTAGAATAAGGTGAACAAAATTCCTGATCTCACAGTTAATGACAACATGCTTTAATTCTTTTACTCCTGTTACACTTATGAAAACAGTCTATATAGTGTGATGAATTTTTATGCATACTTACTCTTCTTATTTCAGGCACATTGGTTCTAGATCTTTATAAACAGCCCCAAGGTGGTTTTTTTTTTGGTTTTTTTTTTTTGGTGTTCTTTTGGCAAATAATTGGTCATACTTGAAGCTGATGGGAGAGTTTGCATTGGACTCAGGGAGTGGGCTTTGCCTCGGGTCAAGTAAAGCCAGTAACTGGATCCAACAACAACTACTTGATCTCCAGTTTCCAGTTTCTCCAATTGTTTTGTCTGTTCTGCAGAAGCTAAGTTAATTACAAATAATAGGCCCTAACTTGACATATACCTCTCTCATATTCAACCTCTATGATTAGAAAAACACCAAGACTAGATATCTACATGAAGTCTGTCTTGTGAACATGGAGGCAAGCTGGAAACTAGACCTCAAAGAGAAGACTAAGTTGAATTCTTCCTCCAAAAGGGATATTCACTTCAACACATTGTAGCTGTGAACAGCATTTGCAATTCCATATCTCATCCCATTAGTTAAATTGGTTTGCTTCAAGGGCTGATGAGGGAGTTTTCACAGAGAAGACACAGATGTCCTCCTTTCCCTCTAATGCCTTGGCATTAAACCAGATGAGACAGTGCTCATGTGGCTTAATATCCTCGTTGTTCACAAGTTTTTCCTAGATTAGAGGCTGCTGAGGAGGCTTGTGCAAGGCCATAGCCCCAGCTGCATACGTGACCAACAAAGTGCTCTTTGCTGCCACCAGCTCCACCAGAGCACAAAGCTTAAAAGGCTCTTTGACATGGCCCAGCCCCTCACACTGAAATCTCTTTCATTTAGGAATTTAGCAGCAAATGTCTTTTGACTTCCGCTGTGTCTGAGCATGTGCTTTTCTGGACCAAAAAGAGGATTTGGTCCTGCCAGGGTAGACAGGTGCCCATTGTAGTGCACAGAAGGCAGGTGGACAAGTGGGACCTCGTGCTCCTTCTGACATTATTTCATTACTGTTCATCATTTATCATAATTGTGATTTCACTGTTATTGCCGTGTATCTGAGGAACACACTCTAAGCACGCTTCCTATTTGCACCTGACAGAGAGGGAGCATCTCAAAAAATCCCCGAGGGTTTTTGAGATCACAAAGCTCAGAAAGATAACACAATTAGTGCACATAACTCCCCTCGGTTTGCTTTATGCCTGCTGACAAGGTTAGCAATAACCCGTCTTTGTGAGGGATTGTTTTGTCTCCCCTACCAATGCATCCAGACTGGCAAGCTTTAGGTCTGACTTATTAGAGTGTATCTCATTTTTCTTAAGGAAACGGTGGTGAAATTAGAGGCATATTACATAAAGACATCACAAGTTATAAAAGGATGAATACCAAATTAATTATTAAGAATCCACCCTTTTTATTGTCTTCACTAACTTGAAGCCTGACCTGAAGACTGTTCACGGTGGGCTTCTCTCTGTCCTCCTCTAGCTTGAGCTGGGAACGGTTTAAACATCTCTGCTGGGAGGTGAATGGTGAAGCCCAAGCTCAGCGAAGCTGCTGTGTTTAGACTGAGTGTGGTCTGTGATGTGGCTGCTGGTGCTGGAACCAAGCTGATTGTCCTCAAATGAGCTCCTCTTGAGTTACGGTAACTCAAGCAATTCTGACTTTATCCTAGATGCCAGCCCTCAGCTATTCCTGGAATTAGAGTCTAGGCTAAGAGTGTATGTTTTAATAGAAAAAACATCTATAGCATCTCCAATTTTTTTTTTTCATTCTAAAGAAATGTTAATTTTTCTAATTTCTGCTGATTTTTCCCGTGGACCCACTGGCTCTCCCACACATTCTGCCTTATGTTAGAAGCGCTTTTGTGATGAAAGAAAGTAAGGCCTATTCATGGGAAAAGGTAGGTAGCCTGAATGCTTCAAAGGATCGTCGTGTAAGTAGCTTGTCTTTATTGCTTCATAGTACACATATGAGTTGCAGTCCTTGCTAATCTGGTTGATGCAGAGCTAGGGATGGTATGCAGTGATATTGATGGATTATCCCTGTGGCTAAAGACTGAGAATACCCCATTACTTCTGTTTGAAAATCTCAGTTACGTTCTCATCAAAACATCCCCATTTTCTCAGGAATTTCTGTACACTCAGCACAAAATGCTTGCACAACAGGCACAGTGACTCCTGCAACTATTGTTTACAGTGTGCTGGCTAATCCTTTCTGTGATCCAGGCGGTGCCTACTGGGTTTGGCTTTTGACTGGGATTAGAAACTGGTGCTGATGCATACTGCCATGCTGCCTGGGGACCTCAGCAGGATCGTGGCCACACTGTGCCAAGCAGCATACAAACCCAGAGTTCAGAGCCTGTTGTTTGAGCATCTTCCCTCTAATTGTGCATTTGACCCCCTTTCTCCTTCCAGCCCTTAAGTAAAACATCTAATCCTGTTCCATTCCTGTATCTTTTCAGGGATTTATTTCTTACTATCAGTCAGTGTCTGTAGAGGGGGGATACCAGGATGGTGCCACCCAAAGGCCACAGCAAACTGTTATAGCTGCAGTGGGAAGCTGTGTTTCCTCTGCTCAAGCACTTCTGCTATTCAGTGAAATTGCTTTTTCAATGGGAATTATCCTTCTGGCCTGTCCCTGTTGCACATGACTCCAATGCTACTTTGAGGTCTGTGTGAGCCAGTAGGAAGCTTTTTCTCCTCCCAGTCTGTTCAGGCTTCAAGGGTTCATGCTGCTTTTGTCCCAGTTTCATGTCAAAAGGATGCTTGCTGGGTCTAGGTACAGCACACCCTGCTCAGGCTCCATGCCTGCACTGCCATGTCTTTACAGCCATATCTTGTTAACACCAAGCCTCGTCTGCAACCTGCCCTACAATGCTGCTTAAATTCAGTTTCAAATCTGGCCATTTTACTGCTGCATTCCACATTGCTCACAGACAGTAGCAAGCTAATAACAACGTGCTGGTGCCACCTCAGCCATCACAGGCTGGAGCTGGCATGCCCAGTCTTGCTTCATAAACTTCTTTGTCCCATGAGAGATTTGAGAATGTAATACACATTTGGTCTGTGCCTCCTTATTTGAGGCTGACCAGTCTGAATCACTTTTGATAAACTCTAAGCAGGAATTTCAAACATAGTTACGTTCCTATCAGTTTAATTAAAGTAGATCACTGGGTAGAGAAACCCTGTGAAATGTTCCTGTTGAGAAGGCTGTGCTGGGTGTGCCGCTGAGGAACCATCAGGGAGTCTGCTCAGGGCCATGGCTGTTATCGTGGGGCACTGAGGAGCTTTACTTGAAAGCAAGACCTCTCACACTGAGAAAGAGTTAAGACAGGAGTGACTACAGAGTAATTACTTCTACTTTATCATGAGAGTAGTTGAGAGGAAATAGAGGAGCTACTATAAAACGATGTGAGACTTAGATCTGTAGGAAACTGGTCTGTTTTCTTGTACAAGAAGGAGTCTCTCTGATATGGCCAAGATTTCTAGATACTTTAAAAACTTTACTTCAGATAATATTTCTGTGCTATTACGAGGTCAATTTGTCTGTAAAATGTTAACATGTGGTAAAGGCTTTCTTTACCTACTGCATTCTAGCTCTGTCTTGCACCACATTTGGAGGATGTGACACCATGCGAACATGGGAAGCTGGAAAGAGAAAGGACAGGCATGGCATGGAGTTTACTTTGCCAACACTGGTGAGTTGCTGGTGCTGGCCACAGTGGTGGAGGACACCTGTGACGGACTCAAATTCATTTGAGAGGCTGTTCTATAGCTTTCATTGTGTCTTCTCTCCAATTGATGTTGGTAGAATTAACCACAGATTAAAACAGATTAGTGCACTGCTCACACGGGATGCAGACTTCAGGGTTTAGGCAATGCTCTGTGGCTAACGAGAGCCAACAAGTTTTGCCTGAGTCATCCCTCTGGGTGGAACGTGCCCTGCTCCAGTGATGACAGGAGATGCCAAATGTCAACAGAAGGGCAGTCATCTCCCATTGTGATTAACCAGGCAGAGCCTGCTTGGAAGAGCCATCGAGACGATCGATCTTATTCTTATCCGGCAGTGATAGCAGTCTGCCAATGAGATTAGAAGGACTACACTTAATGTAGTCTTTTGGTAGCAGGGGAAGATTTATATTCTTAGCATAAGCTGCTTAGGAAAAGCTTCTTTTACTTAGCATTTATCATTTGTTATTGACATTTTATTACATTGATAGCCATCCCAAGAAAACACTTCGTACCTGATTTATACATAGGCATATTCTCTTTGAAACCAAACATATTTTGAGAGTACAAGACTGGTGATAAGCTATGTTAGACCTACTTTGTTATACTGATATAAACTTAGCATAATTATTTTTTAGAGCACTAAAGCATTGTCTGATGTGCTTCCCAAGTCACTGTGTTTTTTCCTGCTGGCATTGATATATGCAACTGATGGTCATCTCAGGTCTGTGGGCTGTATTGGAGAGAAGCTCACACTGAGCCAAACAGGATCTCTGGTTTGAGCAGGAAATTCCACATTTGATCCTGTAGGGAGAAACATGCTGTGTTTCCTCAAACATGACTTTGGTCCACATTTTTATTTTATTATATTTTTTCCCAAATGAGCAGTGTCCAGAGCCAGACACATTTCTACATTTCTTGTAGATGAAATGGTCTCTTGTTTTTTTTTTTTTGCTTTTTTTTTAACCACACTCTTCATATGTACAAAGTGGTAATGCAGTGGATGTGCATCATCACCTAACGGTGCTGTAAGCGGTACTACGCAGAAGAGTCCCAAGCTGTTGTACAATGAAATTCTACAATAACCTTATTAACAAAGAGCAATTAAGAGCAGCCTGTTAACCTATATTTTTCTACCCTACTTTAGGTGTCAATGTATACCCAGGAACTGCAAATACTGGTTGGAAACACGTTCTGCTGTCCAGAGGCATAATTACAGAAAGCTTGTAGTTGTCTTTATCACAAAGTTTTAATTAGCAGGACACATTAAATAACCAGCTGATACAGATCTTAATGAATCATTTATAGGCCTACATCTAGGATAATTATATGTAGCTGGGCACATGAAATCACTTGCATACGTCTGGGCTTATGTGAAATGGAATATGCATCTTCCTCGTGAAATAAGGGTGAAAGAGAGGGATGGGACAAAACTGGGGCACCAGGCTGCCTTCCCCAAGCTGTTTTTGCATGGAGTATTGCCAACAAAATAAATAAAGCTGGCTTCAGGAAGTCTGCCGAGCTCCAGGGTGGGCATCTTGGGCCAGTCCCCTTTCTTCTGGCACATTTGTCTCTTCCATCATGATAGGTACCCTATGGCACTCATTTCCCACCTTCACTGCATGCTGGCCCATGGGCAGGTGTCTTGGTCTTAGGTCCTTTCAAAGAATTGTAGGTTGACCTCAAGAGATCACTGATTTCAACCCCCCTGCTGCAGCAGGTGCCCTATGTAGATCACAGAGGTAGGCATCCAGATGAGTCTTGAATATCCCCATTGAAGGAGACTCCACAACCTCCATGGGCAGCCTGTTCCAGTGCTCTGTCACCCTTATGATACCCTTAGCTTGTATAATTGGGAGCTGTTGTTTTTATCAAGTGATAGTTCAACTGCTGTACTATGTGTGGACTATGGATGTGTTGTCCAATGTTTTTTTGTATAGTGACTTGGCTTGCTCAACTGGAGCCCCAGAAGAAGCAGAGCCCCTTTATGACTGCAAGTCAAAAGCAAGGGATAAACAAACCATTGCAAGTGTATATTTGAAAAGATTAAGAGCAAAGTATTACCAACCCATGCAATATTGTAATCAAAAGTCCTTTAAAAGCGGCGTTGACTAATTTTCTCAATTATCCACAGAGTCTGCTGTTAACAGGTTTCCCTGGTTTCTCAGCACCAGACAAACTCTGCTGATCTCTGCAAAACATCTTCCACCTTAAGTACAGAGTTCTCCTTAAAATTAGTGGTTTTTTCAGAGTTAATATGTTAGTCTCCTGATGTGCCACAGCAGGCGTCTGGAGCAGATCTTACCAGACTTTTTATGCTGCGCTTCCTCCTAGATTGCTTTGAGGCAAGGGAGCACTTGTGGCAAGAGCTGATGTGGTGCAGGGTTTGACAGCATCTCTCCACACCTTAGTTTTTGCTTTTGTCAGGGACAGAGGAATGGAGACTCCAAGTATGGTTTCTTAGTCCCCATCAGGGGACAGCCACACAGCAGGGCATGAGCCGGTGTTCCATTTCCAAGATGTCCTCTGCCACTTTTTCCTGAAGGAAAAAGAGAAATGTGTTAAAAGAGATTACTCTCTCTCCCAGGGCAGGAAATGGTCAGTATGTGATCCAACCCTGAGACCAGAGGCACCTTCTCTGGAGGACCATGCTCCACGGTCCCACCCAAGAGGGTGGACATGATCAGAACCAGATATGATAGCATGTTATGTGCTGAAGCTGACAGTCTGCCTGGACTGACGTCTGTAATAGCTTTGCACATTGTGGTTGTTGCTGTTTTTATCCTCTAATCCCCTTGGGAAGTAAGGAACTTTTATTAGTCATTTTCTGGGGAGAAACTGAGATGTGGCTTGATGAGGCCACACAGGGAGCCTGCAGCAGAGCCATGCAGCTATCAGACCAACCGTCCTCATTCCTTATCAGTTCTGCTACGTACTTGTGCATAGCTGGGAAACAGACATGGCTCCCGAATGGCTGTGAGGAATAAGACAGAGACAGGGAAGGGGAAGAACAGTGCCTGCTCCTGACACCAAAAAGGTGGTATGGGAATGCCCTTAGTGGTGGCAGAGGGCTCCTGCCCCACGCCTTCAGTGGAACAGATTTTTCTCAGTTTCTTGTTAGACATGTAGTCTTGGCTTTCCAGCCACTGCCAACACTGTCTGGGCACAGGGCCACATTTACTCTGGTTCTACAGCCAGAAATATGGTGATCTCTGGTTCATGCTGGTGTGTGGTTGGGTTGAATGCATCAAAATGTGTCATCAGAAGTCACTAGCTGCATAACACCAAGCCATGGCAGGGAAACTGGGGGGCATATAGCACAGCACTGAAGAGAGGAGCAGCATCAGCAACCAGGCACAGAGAATGCTCTTCATTTTCAAATCACTTTATTAGAAGGCCACTTCCTAAAGTAAAGCATCTCTTTCAGAGTGCTGTGTTTCAATTTCTGAGCTGTATCAGGAGTGCAGTTTGTTTTGCAAGAGCCAATGTACCAATTACAGCTTGAGACTTTGAGAGAGGCACGAGGGACTCAACCACACATCTTCCATTAATTATCTCTTGGCTACATTAGTGCTACAATGATAGCACCAGTAATATGTCACAAGCTCATTTTCTGTCATTAAAATCAGCAGATGCAACCCTGATCCTTGCTGGGAGTGCATCTTCTCAGCAAGAAGGTGCTGTTTTATCACAGGCACTTCTAAAGTACAGTGCCATTTAAATGCCAGATTGTGCTGGAGCAGAGCTCTGCTCCTGCTTCCCCAGACCTCCTGGAGCAAGGAAGAACTGAGCTCTGCAATAGCCCTCACTTCACTGCCAAGCCTGGACCGAGTGAGTTTGTCTCTGCTGACCTCCTCCTCTCGGTGTGATAGAGAAATGGTCAGAGTTTCAAAAAGCTGATGCATAGGCACTGCTGGTAGATATTAATGCACCGGTTGTAGGCTGCTGGAATGCAAATAATTTGGCTGTTGTTTCACCCTGGGTGCCAGATCCAACAATTCGGGCTGCGTCATGGTGAGGCACCTTCTCCCTGTGTCCCTTGCAGCCACAGGCTGGGCTCAGAGTATCGAGCCCCAGGTTGCTGCTGTATTCAGCAGCAGGGTTGCTGCACAAAGCCTGAACATCGTTCCAACTTCCAGCTCCTATTCCCTCTTCCATCCTGCCATTTATGTTTTGGGGGTCAGATAGCATCTCTTTTCAGGTCTAGTGCCAAACTCAGTGCATTGAAACTTAGCAATCCACTCACCTAAGCAATGACAGCTTAGGCAGCAGCTTGTTCCGCCAGCCTCTTCCGTCTGGTTCTGAGAAGGAAAAGAACAAAAACTGCTCAGTTTGGAATATTGCATAATATTGCCATTTGAAAGAGAAAATGTGGAAAAACCCAGCCACTGCTATTGGCCATATCCTTCTCTTACCCTTCACAAGGAGTGGTGCTGGTACACAGACGTGTGCCTGTGTCTGTCCATCTGCTGCATGGTGCCTCTGAAGGCAGCAGCTGGGCTGGACGCGGGCAGGAGGTAACCTGCTGTGGGAAGACATCCAGATTGTAAATTAGCCCCAAAAAATAACAACAAGAAGAAAAAGATTGCACCGTCCAAAGATTTGAAGTTGAAAAGGATGGGTTGACACCACATTAAGCAGCCTCTTCTGGCTGCAGTATGAGTGGTGGGTGTCATCAGCAATAGAGCATGTTGTCTACACCCCCCAGCAGGTGCTCCGGCCTGATGGGCATGCAGGCTGTGTGGCTGTGGGGAGCTGCTGAGCCTCGGTATGCACAATTACCGTGGCACACGCTGGCTGGAGAGGGTGCTATGTGGCTCAGGTGAAGCCTGGGCTCCTGTGTTAATGCAGGAAGGATCCAGTCTGAACTTCTTTCTGTGCGCAGACATTGGTTTCTTTTCTTTTAATTATTAGCTTTGTAAGATCAGAGATGGGGCTGTGTTCCAACGCCAGCAATCTCATTTCTGTTGCAGGGTTATAAATGTGTCTGGGACCTTGGCATGTGTCTGTGTGGCCCGGGGCTCCGAAGCATCCCTGAGTTGCAGCCAGGAGGACCTGCGTCCATGCACACAGCAAAACAGCCTTTTGCACTGACATGGTGGTGTAAAAAGGTGGGCCAAAAGCTGCTGTTTCAAGGCCAACAGGAAAATATATTGCACTTCCCTTCTGTGTGCCACAAAGCCTTTCCTAGCAGGGCTCCTTCTGTGCTGCTTCAGGGCAGGAGGCTGCTTCCCCATCCAGTGCTGCTGCACAGGCAAAGCTGGAACACGAAGCCCATGCAGGCAAGAGCTAATACTGCTTGAGCAAACATGGATGAAGAACTCTTTGGCAGAAATGTTTTAAAGCTGCTGCGAACATTAAATATTACTATGCAGTGAAATGCTGGAGCAGTGAGATCCATATACATTCACCATGGTCTATATCTCATACAAGAGAGACAAGATTTCAGGAATAAGAGGAAACTGCTTTTAAGCTGATTTCTAATAAAACCAGGCTTATTATTTAATGGTGTGTTTTATGCCAGGAGGACTATTGGTAGAGCCTGGCACTGCTGTGGTATGGTCCAGCTCCCGTCTCTCAGGAAGCAGTCATCAGACAGAATTTTAATGGCTCTTATGAGCCGTACGAAAGGCAAGTAAAATCAGAGGGAATTCTTAAACAGAGTTGTTCTGAGCTTTTCACGAGGCCTCTTTCTTCACCTTGCTGCAGAAGCACAAGTCCATGCTGCACGCCACAGAGCGGGCATGGCTGCTGGGTGTCCCGGTGAGGGGTGGGTGGCTGTGCCCCACAGGGGGGATGCATTCACTACTCTCTTTAATAACCTGGCTCCTGGGCTCTGCTCCTCCCTGCATGCTGTCCTGTGTCTTGTCCCCCTGGATGGAGCTATCTCTGGGGCAGTGGTTCAGCACATAGTTTAGAAATTGAGTGCAGGGAAAGGGAGAGAGGGAGACCAATAAACCTCAATAAGGGGATAAAAAAGGCAGTGGCTTCGGGGAAGATCTAGAGAGCTTGTAGTTATCATTAGGAGGGACAAGCAGCGATGTCTTGGCATATCTCATTAGAAAGTGCTGGGAGCTACTGAACTGGACAGTGGCTTCAAATGCCAGTGACCTCCAGGAGCTGGAAGTGAACTTTGTAATTGATATAAGGATGGAAGCTGCTGCACTACAAAGTGGCATTTTGGATGCTGTGAGAACAGGTGATGTGAAGCATCCTCAGCGAGATCTGTTTCCTTCCACTCTTTTGACTCCTGTCAGAGGTGCATGTTCGAGCTTTTCTCAGGGCAGATGGCTTCTGCAAATAGAACAGGCTTTGAAATACAAAGTTTTGTCGAATTCATTATATACCTTCTGACTTCAAAGACTTGCTGTTTCCTCTTTAGTTTCAAACAGAGTGGCATGGCTGCTTTCAGGGCTGTTACATTGGAGACAGACATTGCAGAGCATGTCACCAGAACACTGTGGCAGCCCTGGGACCATCACATGGGCTGGACCAGATCCCTGCCCACACCTAGGGCCTGCCATTACCTGGACTTTGGTGCTCTCCTTGGTGGGGATATCCCTGGCTTTTCCCATTAGGTGAGGTGCAGCCATGTGAGCCTATCCCAGATCTGCCAGGCTCAGAGGGCAGGGCAGGTGAGAAGGGCTGGGGATAGACTTCACCCCTGGAGCTGTCGTGTCCATCTGGATGTCAGATCTCTTTGCTGAGGTGTTCCAACAAGAAGCTTCTTTCTCAAAAGGGAGGAGCTGTACAAACTCATCTTCACGTCTCTTTGTTTTGAATTCACCTTCTGCAGCATGGTGGTTATCCACTCCAGCTCAGCAAGAGGGTGCCGGCAGTCAGAAGCTCCTACAAGCTCCCAAAGCTGTCTGCATTACTTCACATGAACTGCATGTGCTTAACATTGACCAAAGTTATGGTTTTGAGGTTTCATGTCTCATTTTTTTCTTTTGGCGATGTGCTGGAGCTGCTCTAAGAGATGTCAATTAGAGAGCTTTCTCTTTGTATCTGCTTGCTGCACAGAGAGATGACATTTTTTTGGCCAAAAGTTTTCTTGGAAAGAAAATGTCACTTTGTGAAACTGAAATGTCAGTTTAGTGAAGTTGTTCATATGCAAAAAGGAATGGAGAAAAGAAGCACCCAAACTTCAAAGCAGAAAATACACTCCTTTCGACATCTGATTTGCCACAACTTTGTTTTGAAAGGCTTCAGGTTCATTTTGAAAGTTTTAAAAGGCTCAAAGCCAAAATGTTGCAACCGAGCAAAATGTTTGCTCCATCCTCTACTCATTCTCTTCTTTTTTATTATTATTTTAGAACTGGCATCAAGTTGAAGATCTATTTTTTGCCCTGCTCTGGTTGTCTACAGCATCTGGATAAGCTGGAGACAGCGTTTGCTAAACTGAAAAGTATTTAGGGAGAAAAAGTTCTCTGTCTCTGCTTCGGCTCTCAGCAGCTGGACCCTTTATGGATGCTCTATAAGGGCAGTGTATGACGACTTGTAGCATTCCTCCATGTACTCTTGCACCGAGAAGCTTTTGTGGGATTTTTGTCTTATCATTTGCACATTATAAAAGCGTCAACTATTTCCAAACTTTTCAAGTTTCATTGGAAGAACTACTCTGAATTTTAGTCCTGGAGTCAGTTTATGTGTGTGGTTTGATCATCTGTTCCTCCTCTCATACAGATGCTCTCAACGTGGGCAGCAGAGCAGCCCTGTCACAGCAGATTAATGGCAGAACGCCGCATTGCTTGTGGAAGCAGAGTAACTAAAGATGAACAGTGGTGTTGTACCATCTGAATAAACTCTGAAATTAGAACAATTTTTCTCAGTGTTTCGGCATCCAAAGTACAAAGTAATAACCCTGTCAGGAGCAATATTTGCTGCTGTCTTGTGTGGATGCGTTGGGAATTAGCTGCAGCCTCCTGGGCAGAAGGTAGGAGTGTTGGTGATGGGACGCTGTACTGAAGGGAAAAGTGCACAAGGCCCTTGGTTGCAGTGCAGGATGGAACTACGGAGAAGATCAGTGCTGCTTTGAACATGGCATTTGGTTTGGTTTCCTCATGAAAAGGACAATGGAAAAATGGGGAATATATATATATTTGTATAGCAGGCAAAATGTGTTGTAGACTTTGGTAGAAGATGGCAGTCAGTATGTGAAATC